AATTGTCAGTCAATATTTCATTTTGTCCTTGCATGGCAAAATTTGTTGAATTGGTGATATCACTTTTTGTTTAGACTCAAAAGGCAGTTTAATGTAATTGCATACTGAGCAATTTGCTTTCCCTCCTATTTGCCTCAAGTGACCGAAACCTTCAACATTTGTTATATAGCATACACTGGAGGGCATCAAAGTTATTCTCGTGCCACAAAGTGAAAAACAGCATAAACAGATATTTCTTCTGCAGTCCCCAGAATTGTTTTCAAGATGATGCCTTCTACCAGGATGTACATAATAATGCATCAGAAATAAAAAGAGATTGTGAGCAGTCACTGCTCATGCACATTTAATTTGGACCATCAGTGTTCAACAAACAATGCTGTCTTCATCTGATTTGTATCTGACAGGACCTGAGTTGTTAATTTATGTAGCTGGAATGAAATGCACTGTACCATGGGAATTTCTTGTGTTAATGAATGCAGACTGACTACTTGGTCGGGATACATCATGGGTTGTGTTTCGAACAAGTGAATCATATTGTGTATATTAAGGGATGCTTGACATTTGTGAGTGGTCTAGACTTCAATCCATGATCTTTCTATATTGACCCTACTATTATTTTTGTGGGCCTGCCTGCTGTTTTTAGTTTCCTGTTTTTTGTAATTGTTAACAATGGGCGCATAAAATGCTGTTTGTTTCATTTCTGCAATAATGCACATAAGGAGGTGGTTCAAGATCTTATTATTGGTGATTTACATAGAACATGTCCAAACATCTGAGCTTTAGTTGACTAACTCATGTTATATCTAAAATCAGCAGTGATAATACAGCATGTTGCTTGCTTCATAAGATCTCCCTGAATCAAATAACAGCTTATTCTCTTAATTGTCATATTCTTATAATTTATATCTTTGCACAAGAGTATTATTATTGTTCATGTTCACTCACAAACAATCAACATATACTAAAGATTTTGTTTCCCATTTGTTCAATCTGGTAGAGCATATTTGTAATTGGGGACACAGCCATGAGCGTGTTTTGACCCTTGACTTGACTCTAAACACTGCTAATGTATTGTGTTTGTTACCATCAATGCCATTACCTCAAAGACTGCAGACACTATGACATCTTTTATGACCAATGTATCACAATATTTTAGTCACTGACAATATTTAACAGCATTTGTGCAGTTACTGACAAGCAGTACCTTATTTCACATCCCTATTAATGATTTACTTAATGGTGTTAAAATGACTTGCTATTTCAGTAAATGTTCTGAAACACTAAAATGTTTAGTCATACAAACAGAAGATTACTTGATGCCACAGGGGAAATGCTGAATTATTATTTTTTGAAATCCTGTAATGACACACAGTACAAGGATATTCATGGCCTGGCACTGACTTTAGAGAGCCGAATTGTTGCACCCTCAGAGCAGAACAAGGTTTCTTAGATTATCTTTTCAAGGACTCACAGTAGAACAAAAGCTGAGTCTGTTGAATGTTTTCTAAAAGCTCACTTTTACCAGTTTTCCATTTGTAACACGTATGTGTGTAATGAACCTGTTTTATGCCTGCATATGTTTGCAGGCATGTGCAATATGCATTGTTATTGTCCTCATAATGATATGTTAAAAATAATTTACTAATACTCGTGATGTATAAAAGTTAGACACAATAATGTAGATAAATATACAAATAAAAACGTTTATGAGGCTTATAATGATCAGTCAGAGACTGTGTCACAGTTGTATTTCCAAGGTTTTACTTGAACGGTATTGCAGCATATGGTGTTCAGATTATATGTCTACCTTCTGCACACAGTTTAAATTAACTTATATATGGGCCCATAGGAAATGAAAATGTCTATATTGCTTCTGTAAAATCTTGGTAAATATAATTTTTCATTCATGTAAATAAGACAAGGAGTTGTGATGGGGGAAAGTGAATAATAGAGAGAGAAATATAGCAACATTTTTGTATATTGAGTGTCAAAACTAAAAAGGCAAACATTTCTGATTATGGAGAAGAGGATACTTTATGGTAATGTTTTTCTTTAAAACCAGATGATAGATTAAATATGAAATTATATTGAATTCTACCTTTTCAGGGAAGTAAAGACAGAGTTGTGCCTCTAGTGTTTGCATCTTTAAATTTTTTTGTTTATATTTATTTATTCCTCATGGTTGTGAAACAATCAGTAATCCAGCCACTGCTCAGCTGGCTCAGTGAATTCATTACTTGTCACTGGCAGCAGGGGTCGTGACATTGAATCTAGGGTGGTGCTGAAGGAAGATAACAAAACTCAAGCAGCACTTCTGGCTGTAATTTAGACAAATATGTTGTGTCTGATATGTCAAGGTTTGGTACAGACAGTGTCACTTGTTCTAAAGGACCTCAATGAATGTGTCACAGACTGGATCTCTTGCAACAGTTTCTTCTCTTTCCCCACAAGGCCATAGACTGCCGCTGTCACTTGTAAAACTGCAGTCACTCAGTCATTCCTGTACACAAGATGGATGGTCAGTGCTTGTCCACTCGTGATCTTGCATGCAAATTACAGGTGATGTTTGCCCAATCGCATACTTGCATGCAAATTAGTTTTCTCTGTGGTAGAAGCACTATACTATACAAGAGTATAGTCACATGCTTTCAGTCCATATGAAGTTTAAAAGACGTTCCATACAAGCTCTTGGTTTAGCAGCAGTATTCAAGTAAAACTCATAACTGAATATAGAGTCTGTGTTTTAACTTACACCGATCAGCCATGACATTATGACCCCCTGGGCACCCTGGTGGTCATAATGTTATGCAGCCCCATAACAACAAACTGTGATGCACTGTGTGTTCTGACAGCTTCCTATCAGACCCAGCATTAACTTTTTCAGCAGTTTGAGCTACAGTAGCTCACCTGTTGGATCGGACCACACAAGCCAGCCTTCACTTCCCATGTACATCACTGAGCCTTGGCCGCCCATCACCCTGTCTCTGGTTCACCGCTTTTCCTTCCATGGACAACTTTTGATAGGTACTGACCTCTGTAGACCGGGAACACCCCACAAGAGCTGCAGTTTTGGAGATCCTCTGACCCAGTCTTTGAGCTATCACAATTTGGCCCTTGTCAAAGACGCTCAGATCAGCTGCGCATTTTTCCTGCTTCTAACATGTCAACTTTGAGGGCAAAATGTATACTTGCTACCTAATATATCCCACTCACTGACATCAATGATAACCAGATAATCAGTGTTATATAATCAGTTGTCATAATGTTATGGCTGATCGGTGTATGTTGGATTTGATATATAGTCAGTTATGTTAACTCCAATGTTAATTTACTTTTTCTTCTCAACACATCTGCTTCTAGTGTGTCAGGCTAGCATTGTTTATATGAATGTTCATCTCCTACAGGTTCAGTGTTTTTTTTTAATTGCCTGTCTTGTTTTATTGAATGACACATGACTACTGAGCAAGCATCGGAGAGTCTTGTATATTTGAGGATCTACATCAAAAAGAACCACAGAGGTTCTGTGCCTTTGATGTGCAACTGCCCTTTTTACCACTTCAGACAGAATAATGTGATGCAGGGTGAGGATAGGAGCCAAATGGCAATGTTTATGGATTATTTACCAAAAGTTGTAGTTAATAATAAACACATGAACCTGCTCACTGCCTTCTGTTACAACCAATTGTGCTATGGTCATGATAACAGGTGTTAGCTCTGAAGGTGTCTATTAGTATACATCCATAGCAAACAAGGAATTTCCACCATATGATCTCAATGGGAAAACATTTTAGAATATAATAGACCAGGTAATACCAGTACAGTACCATTTGATCATTTATAAACTGGTCCATTTTGTGTCATACTAGGGAGTCCCCCCTAGTATGACTGGTAGTTTTCTTCTTCTAGGTTAAGAAAACATTCTGTTAATAATTCAAATGTATCAAATAAATAAATAAATAAAGATGGCTGTTTTCACTCAATCTTTAACTACAGTTTCTCTGTCTCTATCCATGGTACTGAAATAGACTTTGCCGCTCTATATGGGCTAAAACATTCAAATGCCGATGAATGTAAACGCTGAGTGTAAGCTGATTTATAAATACAGAAAGAATGACAATATCATAAAATAAAGTAGTAGCAGTAGTAATAATGATAACAATAACTATTTATAGGAAAAAGAAACTGTACCTTAATAAAAACGTCCTTATAGCTGCGTACAACTACATTATAGAGTATTAAAAACCATTTATTAAATATTTGTATACTGCATATAAATACTAACTGGAGGACAGGAAAGTGTTGTCAATTCTGACTTCCTTTGTCTGTGGGCCCCAAGCCCATTTGTTCCTACAAAAGACCTAAATCTCTAAAAATCCAACTCAAACAGAAGTAAATAGTTCATTTGTTGGTGAGTATTTTCAGCAGAAAGCACAGAGGATGTGGGATTTACTCAAAATAAACAACCATTTTCATCATAATTAGGGAACAAGGCTGATTGATTTGTTTTTAACAGTTTTTGGACAACAATAGAGCTTTATGGGTCAGGGGAATAAGCTACAGTATATCAGGATTTGCCTACACACATAATACTTTGCTAGTATCTTGGGATCAAATCATTGTTGGTTTGGGTCTTTTCTTGGGAATTATTGATCCTCTAATGCCTCTGCAGTATTTGTAACAAGAAAAAAAGTTTTAAACTGTTCTCACTCCAGCAATGTTCACTTTGCCTCCCTTTTCTCCAAAAATAAACATCTAAAAAACAGGGATTATATTTTTTGAGCTTTGACCTAGTATAACTGCCTGAAATTCCAACATTTCAAACAGCTTTGAACTGCTTTAAACTCTTAATATAAACATTGTGTACACACATATAACAACCCATGTTCAACCAAGCTAGCCTGCTGTTGCTCACAGTGTGAAATCGTAAGTTATAAATCTATATAAACATGCCTCCTTCATCTCCACTCCTAATATGATTACTGCCCTCCTTTTTCCAACAGAGATTCGTGAGGCTTTCAAAGTATTTGACCGAGATGGGAATGGTTTCATCTCAAAGCAGGAGTTGGGTATGGCGATGCGTTCACTGGGCTACATGCCCAATGAGGTGGAGCTGGAGGTTATCATCCAAAGACTTGATATAGATGGTACGTCTCTCTCTCTCTCTCTCTCTCTCTCTCGCTCTCTGGGTCAGCAAGTTGGCTGTTACATATAATCCAAAACAGAAGCTATACAGTGACATGTGTTTGTTATCTGTTTCATCAGGTGATGGTCAAGTTGGCTTTGAAGAATTCGTCACATTGCTTGGTCCTAAACTCTCATCTGCTGGCATGCCTGATAAGTTCCACGGAGCAGACTTTGATTCAGTGTTTTGGAAGGTATATTATCTATCATCAGTATTATCAATCAAGGGTAATCAAGTCTGTACCTTTGCTTTACCAGTGTTCATTAATTCATTCTCTTTTGAGTGAGTTTTCCTTCAGGCTTTTCTGTTGTTTTGTAATAGAGAGACGTCTGTTTCAATTAAAATTACAAAACCTTCTGATCTAGTCAATTAAACAAGTATTTCTAGCATTAGTATTACATTATGCATTATATTCTGACTTGCTTCTCTGACTTTGCTCTAAAAGTAAAGTTCTTAATTTTCAAATGGCCTTGACATACTACACCACTGTGATAATTACAGTGTGTTACATACAGTATTGTCATTCCTTGCATCAGTATCAGTATTAGTTCCCTGTCTGATTTCAGTAACAGTATGTTATTTTATAGCCCAGGGAATGTTCTCATAGCTGGGAACAACAATAGCCGAGAGCTTCCCTGTAATGCCACTATTATTACTGACCTACACGGCATTGAGACTCTCTCTCCTCTGATAATTAGACCTATCTTTTTGTTTTCTGTCTTCCCAGTGTGACATGCAGAAATTGACTGTGGATGAGCTTAAGAGACTGCTTTACGATACTTTCCGTGACCACCTCACCATGAAAGACATTGAGAACATCATCATGACTGAGGAGAGCCATCTGAACAGTCCAGATACCCATTTGGATATTGACAGTATGTTGCATACAGATTTTATTTTAACACATTGCTCGGGCATTTTTTTTTAAAGCTCTGTTAAGATTTACAGATGTGCTAATATTTTTTTTCTAAATCTTTCCACAGCAAGCCCAACACAACAGGAAAAACACACATGTGTGCGTAAAAGCCTGATTTGTGCCTTTGCCATTGCATTTATCATCAGCGTTATGCTCATTGCAGCAAATCAAATGCTCCGCAGAGGAATGAAGTAAAGAGCAGTTTCTTGTTACAAAAACATGTAAGTACGGACAATGAAAAGGCAAACATTAACCAAAATACCTGACTGTTTTTGGTTTTGTTCAATGTTTTCAACACCCACAATGACACTAACACAGCTTCTCTCTATGGATGAAATGATGTCAATGGTTTCGTGTGGCCACTAATCATAGATTACCATGGTAAAAAGACAAGACAAAATAAAGACATTTCAAGGGCTGATTAGTATCCTCAAACAGTAGTGTCAGACTGACTCATATCTCTGATGTTTTCTAAGAAATTAGATAGGAAAGCCGACTGTATAAGACTTCAATATTTCAGTGTACAGTATGCGCTGTAGTAATAGCTGTGCTTTGTCTAATATATCAAAACAATTAATGTTGTTGATGAGAACTCTGCTGTTTGGAATACTGATACTGATGATAGTAATTAAGCAATATGAAAGTGTTAATGGGCTACATATTAAGCAGTTTTAAAGCACTCACTAAAACACAAGGATAAATGACTGGGAACTGAATTATTTGTCTCTTTTAAGTATTTTAGTGGCACGGTTTCCAGTCCAGAAGTCCAACTCACATCCAGTTTAATATACTTTGCTAAACCAGCATCATCTTTCATCTAAATCTTAACTTTAACTTTATTATAAGTAATTAATTCTAGACAAAGGTTGGACTACCAATAAACACTTGCGTTGTTTGGTTCATCCGTTCTAGGCTACTGTACAAAACATAGCAGTTTAAAAATGGCGGCCTCTGTAGAAGGGTTAAGAAGACCCGTGCCATCTGTAAATAAATTGGCTCATTCTAAAGTAACAAAAATATGATTATTATTTTTTTTATTATTTTCATTATACACTTATGAAAACATACCCATTCAGTTTCAGGTTAATAGAGCCTCCTAAACATCACAAACTGGACCTTTAATGAATCTTAATCATCTTGAGTTACAAGCTATACAAATCTGTTGAAAGGATTATTTAAAGCAGACTATTTTGACAACTTTTTATTCTTATTTTACTCTCTACTTTAGTCCAGACTGAAATGTCTTTACCAGTAGATACTAATGGTTCCTACTGACTCCTGTGACTTTTCCTGTAATGCCACCAGCAGATCAAATTTTCCACTTACACTGTGAAATCAGGGGTGGATCTAGAGAAATATTCATAGGGTGGCAAGAAGGTGGCATGGACACTTTAAGGGGTGGCAGAAATATATGCTGATTTAATCACAAACAATCACACATATCAATACTTGCATGAAATGAAGATAATTTAACTCAAAAACACTACGTTGTTGTGGTTCATTGGCACTTTTTTCATTGAAGCCTATCAGCTAGTCTAAAAGGGTGGCCATAACAGATAATTAAATTATTATAATTATTTTAGTTTTAGTTTAATCGAAATGAATGTGTTAAAACTGACAAATTGACAGCATTAGAAACCAAACTGGGGTGGCAGTGGTCACCTCTAGATCTACACCAGTGTGAAATATTTCAACATCTGCTTAATTGCTTGGCACAAAATTGGGTACAGACATTCACATTGACAACTGGTTTTCATCTAGTGCCACCATGAGGTCAACCTTTTATTATGTCCAATACTTTGAATTATGACCAAATACCTGTAAACTGTACTTTGTGTTTAATGCTACAAATGTTAGCATGATCATTCCTTGCTACACATCAGCATGTTAGCATTGTTATTGTGAGCATGCTGCCATGCTAGCATTAGCATTTAGTTCAAAGCAATGGTATGCCTAGCCTCACAGAGACGCTAGCATGGCTGTAGACTCTTGATCTTGTTGAAATATAGTGACTACAGCTTTATGACAACTCGCAGAGGGTGTCATGAAATCATGCAAATCTGTCAAGTGTGCTGCTTTGTTACTTTCATTAAATGCTACAAACATAAACCGTTCCATATTTTGTAAAGCATCATGTTATCACCTCAGCTCAACTTAAACTGAAGTAAAGGCACGGTATATTCATAAAGAAAGACGTGAAAAGAAGAAAAGTCAATTCCCCAAATGTTTCTAACATGAGAAGTGTAAAGCACCCAACAATTGGAATAAACTGGTAAACAAGCACAGGACCACACTGGACAGCACTGCTGAAAAAAGGATGGAAAACAGAGGGACTGAATAACATGTGGACTGTGACTCTCAACCACATGCAATAGACTCCTGTCAGCTGACCTGCAGAGAAATCCCACAGTCCACTTCTGAAGATGTCACGGTTTTTCTAAAAATGAATGGGTTTGTTTTAAAGCTCAGCGTGAGCCTTCTTGGCTGAGCGGCTCAGAATTGATTTGTAAATGAAACAGCTGCTGAAAATGTGAATGAAGCTGAAGCGAACAGTAAAGTCTGAAATAAAAGGCAAGACAGTAAAGGAAATCACACAGTCGCTCTAAGAAATATCAGACAAGAGTATTGGCATGGGTATTTATGCAAAAAGCCCAGACAAATTGATCTCTTGACCATCACACAACTGGTAAAATGTGTTTCATGCCCACAGTCTGCCGTGATCCGTGCACAATGTTGCTGCATATTTCAAAGCTGTGCATCTATAACAGGCACCAAAATTAGTCATAATGAGTCACAGTGAAAGACAACCGAGTTGCTGTGTGACCTGAGCTACCAGCTGTGAATAAATTCAACCATGACGAGTTTAGAGTTTTGACAAAAGTTGGTGATTACTGTCATATTTATAGCAATTGAGAATGAAGGAGATTCAATTCACACAACACACTTGCATGTACATTGTACTTGTACATTAACTTAGAAATAAATGTGCGTTCTATGTGTGAGATTAAATTTTGACTTCTGATGTATGTATTCAAATAATTATGCAATTTGTAAAGTGATCATTGCAAAATCAAAATCTCAGTATTTGACATTTCCCTGTAAATGTCGAATTTTTGTGGATGTGCAGATGATATCAAAATACTAAATACTTTGTATGCTGTGAACAATAATTTAACATATCATGAAAAATGTTGTTTTCTGGCTTCTACATGGACCACCAAAACAACATATTGTTTAAGGTATAACATGGTTATATTTTCTTACTTGAAAGTGATACATTAAATCTATGTGATTTTATTATGAATGTAAGCATAATGTTTTGTACAAAACAAACAATACTAAAAGTATATTATTAAAAAATATCAGGTTTCTGATGTATAATTTCCAGGTCAACTGGACATATTCAGATACGAGTTCTTGTGGGTATTAAGACCATGCACTTACATAATTTTTTTCATTTTTCAGAATGTTTTCTTTAACAAATATTTGTCAAATTCGACAAGTTTTACAAAATCCTATATATTTTTCTTGCTCTTTTTATCTTAAAGTTTATCAAAGCTATATCAGAGGAGGAAAAGTGTGAAACAGTGAGAATCATTCTGGCAATAAAACTGATATTTTATCTAATATATGGTAGCTGTTTATGTATGAACTACTTATATGACATCACATTACCTCTTCATGTAAACATATCATGTACGGTATGGGTTTTGTGTGAATGTAAAATATAGTTATTGTGTCAAATCTTAAGACATATACGCAAATATTGTGTCCTATTCTATATGTTAGTGTTTTAATTAGCAGATTTATGTACACTTTGTTGACGGATTGTCTGTTATAAAATTTTATTTGGACTGTAGATGTCTTCTGTTCTGTGCCTTTGTCCTTTGGAGTAAAAACTGCACTCCCATGCCTTGACTTTAAGTAGCTTTAGACTTTTAAAAAGATGGGAAATCCATTTTTAAAAAATCACCACCTTTGACGAGAATGAATCTGTTGGGAAATGCGTTTTTGAATTGAAATGACTCATCAGTAATCCGAGTACCAATAAGTATTCATGTATTATCTTTCTCTCTCCCTCTCCTTTTCCGGATAAAGGTTTCTCTAGCTTTCCAGGTAATATTTGTTGTACCATCCTACTGTGTGACATTACTAGTAATTCTAATGTCTAGATTGAGATTATCCAGCGCTGTTTTATTCCTTTAACTGTTACTGCACCTGTAGAGATGCATGTACTCCAATAAAAACAAAGGCATTCTAAATAAGCCTGCTGTTTCTTTTTCTCTTTACAAATTGCTTTTCAGGGAAATGGAGTAAAATTCTGAATTCATTCCTCATTCAACTATTTCAGACCAGGACGGAAGAGCAGTCAGGATCTGTTGGTGTGACGGCCCTGACGGTGCACCATCAGGCATGTTAAACACGCATTAGGAACAAAGCACAGCCTGCAAAGAAGGAAAGACCATTTCCTTATTCCTTTCATTTTATGTTTTAGCATCTACACAGACACCCAAGCTTTGGAATTAAGAAATTACTGTAGTAAAGGCTAATAAGAGTAGGTGGTGAGCGTAGCAGCAATGGATGTGAAGTAGTTAAGATGTATGAGGATTAGAACTGGGATAAAGAGGTAACATACATTTTCTTTAATATACAGCAAACACCTCTGTGATTCAGTCATGACTGTCAAATTAATCGAGGGGGCAAATGATCCACAAGAGGAAACCGAACAATCTTCAGAGCGCATGAAGAGATCTAAAGTTGCCTTAATGTCCATGGACTGGAAGATTTAATAAATAGAATGTATTGCTACAGACGGGGATGAGTGCAAAGAGTGATTTACAGGGCTATACAAAAAATAAAGCCACTAGCTCAGTACTCAAATATGGCTATTGACAGAAAACAGGAAAAGGTTGAAAGTATATAAATCTCAGCATAACACCAGTTAAGAGGAATAACCTAACTGAGGACTTAAAAGGCCAATGATAATTATAAAAACATTAGTCACAAAACCCAGGGATGTGCATGAGGCTGCTTCATAAAGACGTATTAACAACCTTTAATCCAGATCATTAGTTTGTCATCTTTTACTATTTGGGAAGTCAAAGGGTGTTTTCCAGAGGCTGGGCTACAAATAAAACCCAGTCAGATCAGTGATTCCCCCAGTGACGCAGCACAGGATTAAAATTTTTTTTAAAAATATTTCCATCTGCTCAGCAATCCTCCACTCCTTTCGGAACTTTGTGACATCAAATGTAACTCCTCAGAGGAGTCCCACTGTAAAGGCACTCTACTCCAGATTAGTGGAGCAATCAACAACACACTGCCAAATGTCAATTATAAAGGATATTTTGCATTGTCTGTATGGACGATTCTTACACAAGAAACATCTTCAGTCAAATGTAATAAATTAATAGCGCTTCTAAATAATGCAAACATGACATATAATATATGGCATATAAAACATGTATTTTTCTCCTATATTTTAAATGAGAAATGGCAACAAACAGCTTTTTAGTATTAACTGAAAACCTCTTCTCAAACGGACGATTCTAGTTACTTAATACTAATGTGACACAATCTTTTAATAACATCTTTTAAATACATATTACGCACTATCCTTCTATTAATGTCACGCACCCACTTAGCAGTGATTTGAACCACAAAGGGAATATTTTTTAGCCCCATTCTGTGTTCACTTTGACTTTCCATCCCCCTGGAGGAGGAGGTAGAAGAGAGGGTGGAAGGTCGGGAATGGAGAGGAGCTGTTGAGGTATGTCACTTTCTGCTTGGCTTTCTTCACTGTCTTCCTTAGTTTTTGGACCTCTGCAGAGATAAATAATTGAAAAGCTGAATTCTAAATCAACAGGAATTACCATCAGCCATGCTAACCATATAGTGTCAAAAATGAATGTGCATACCCATTGGTGCTTTGGGAAGTTTTCTTCTTTTCCCTTCTAGCGAGCCATTCTTCGATACTTCTCCCAGGCATGAGTCTGTCTACAAAGTCCTCTCTGAGCTGCCTTTCATCTGAAACCAGAAAAATCTCACTCAAGATCAACACACAATTGACACATCTGGGTCAACTGGGTAATGCTGTGATTGTGCTCGTATGCTACCAATTTCCATAACAAATCCAGTTGTTGAATGTTCACCTCATTATTAAAGGATGAGTTACATATTCATCTTAAAGTTTTTCAATCGCATGGCAGACTGCTTGCTTACAGCTTACCTTCCACCTGTCTTTTTAAATTAAACAGATCCTCTTCAGACATGTGAGAAAACCTGCAGTTGGGGCCAAAATCACAAATTCCTAAAAAAAAAAAAAAAAAAAAGAAAAAAAAGATGATTATGAAATGAAATTTAATATAGTTACCTGGTTATTGGATAAATGTAAGGTTAAACCGTTCTCTTACCTTTTTGGAGAAACTTCCTGCAGGGTTTCTTTGTTTGCTCATCATGCAGAATGGCTGAAGAGTCTGTAAAAGGAAAAATGATAGTGTGTCCATGGTTGATGATATAATCTTCCATCATAAAGTAAATAGGTGGGCAGCCAAGATGACATAATGAAATGTAAGCATGCTTAATTCTCTAATCAAAATCTCATTCTCACTGAAGATGTGGCATTTTAAATAGTAAATCATAAAACATAAGAAAATAAAAAACACACATCATATGTTATGAAATATAACCTGTAGTCTGTTTTTTTACTGCGACCACATCTCAGCGGTTTGACTGCAAGTCTCACCTCTGAAATGGTCAAACCAGGCCTTTTTAGCTCTGTGATGCTGAACCCCATTCAGATGTTTCTTCCTGTTATGCATGTTGTCCTGAAAGGACCGGTCGCAGTAGTCACAGTAGTATCTCCTCCCCATGGTGCAGGGTTATGCGCTCAAACCAGCAAGAAGATGTCACCTTTTAAATTGCTGAGAGACAGTGAACAGAAAAGGAAATCATTTTACATAACTGCTCTGTCAACACGTGAGTGAATGGCTGTGCTAAACTGAAATGGTTTCTGTTCGATACTACATCAACTGAGTGAGCGTTGCCATGTTACGCATCATTACGCACAAGCTGATTCATTAGCAAAACAAGGCAATGTCTTTCCTAACAAAAAGAGAGGAGTTTAGCCAAACAATTATAAATACATTTGTTGATTATTTTTCTGATTCATGAATTGTTTAGTCTATAAAATGTAAATAGTCAAAAATGCCAGTCACAATCTCTCATAGCCCAAGATGTCTTAATATTCTTGTTTTACCCTAAAACCCAAAGATATTTCATTTACAGTGACAGAAAACAACAACAACAATCTCAACAACAGCAAGCTCTCATATAAACAATGAATACATCTAAAAATAAATGTTTGATTACTAATTACTAATCCATGAATCAACTAACTTTTCTGCACTTAAAAGCCAAAATAAAACACGTAGCAGACCTAATTTGAGCCTAATCATGGTGCTAGTATTGATCTGTTTTGACATTTAAAATTTTTCGCATCAATGCAAGTTTGTTTACTTCTGCATCAAATACTTTTGCATTCATGTGCCAGTCACACATACCTGCTAACAGATTACACATTTGGCCTTGGACTAAACCTGATAATATGAGAGGCAGAAACTGGAACCATCCTAATATCTACTATAAAGAACACCAACAACATGAGCATTATCATACACAAGTGGTAGTACAATTCTTTTGCTGCCATCTACTGGTTTAGTTATGGAGGTGCATCGTTTAAAACAACTTTTATTTTGAATATACCTTGGGCATGACTTCCTCTTCCACCCTGATGCTACTACTAATTATCCAAAAAGTTTATAAGAGCTTTATAAATATAATGACCATGTAAACGAGCAGTTTGATGCTTGTAGAAAACATAAACACCCCTAAATTTGTCCATTGCGTCGGTAAAATTGGATGGTTAGCTAACTAGCTAGCTCCCATGCTTATCGTTGCACCACTGAACGTTTGTGTTCAGTTCCTGTTTACATTTAATTTAAACGACAAAGAGCACAAACCATTAGCGAAACAGTGACGTCCTCCTCTGTCGAACAAGACAAAACAAACTAAATCCTCCTGTGCGCTCCACATTGATCAGGTACGTCGTCTCCGCAGGGACGAGAAGCGTCAGCGACCTGAAGCGGAAGCGGAAGCGTCACGTGTTACGTTGACATCCGTTCATGCGCAGTGCGTACCAAGCCGCGAACATGTCGCTCACCAAATCCGTGTACAATCTTCTCTTCAGGAGAACATCCACTTTCGCTATAACCATCATGGTTGGAGCAGTCTTCTTTGAGCGGCTATTCGACCAAGGTGGCGACGCGATTTTTGAACAAATGAATCGCGGGGTAAGTGTGTCCTCTGGTGTTTTAATGCTTGTTTTATCCTGACCTTGTTAGCAGAGGGCGAAGCGGCGCTAACGTTAGCTAAGCTAGCCCCGGCAGCTACGCCGAGCCATCGCGTCCTTGTAGGACTTTGTTGTTGCAGCATATCTGATTATATAAAGTGTCCAACCTTACATATTGTGTCATTTCATTGCAGAAACTATGGAAACACATCGAACAAAATTACCAGAACAAAGACGAGGAATAGGACGCGGCAGCGGGGTCGTCTAAGGCTGAAGTGCAACTGTTGTCACACTTCCTTCTTCCATTCTCCCTGAGTTCCTCACCTGAAACAAGTCAACATGGACACTTTGCCCCAAGTCATGCCCAGGCTGGCAGCGGCGACCAGAGGACCTGTGGGAGCTGACTGACTGACTGACTGACTGACCGACCGACCACCATGAAGATGGAGCAATGGTTCCTGTCACCTCGTCTCACCCTCCCTGTCATTTGTAATACCTTCGTTCTTCTCACAGATTGTAAATGGTTAAATTAAACATATGTTAATGTCTTACAGGTGTTGCAGTGTTTTGATTTATGGTGTGCATGTGTTAGTATAATTGTCTAAGCATATCCATTGGATCAGTTCTGTATTTTTTTAACTTCTTTTAATTGACTTTAGTTTTATATTGAGAGGCATACCTTATAGCCACATTATGTTATCTTAAAGTGTGTCAATAGCTTCATATACAGATCAGTTGAGTACTTGGTGAATATTTGTTGTAAAACTGAAGCATTTCCATTTGCTATGTTTACAAGCTTTCAAAATATACAAGGGATGGATACTTGTGTGCTATCATACGTCAGCAGCTGTTTAATTGGTTTTGACATAGTAACATTTATGACAGACTAATGAGTAATAAAACGTTATACAGTAATACTAACATGTTCACATAGTGTATTTTGAAGCAAGTTTACAAAGTTATACCAGTAACATAGAAGTATCAGTTTTGCTGCACTGTATTCAAATGATGCTTCTGAAGCACACAACACTGTACATAAGGTCTGCAAACGGCTACCATGTGCCAGCTCTGTAGCTTCAAGCACCTACATAAGTTATTACTTTTACCCCAAGAACAACTTATATTTTTCACAATGCAGAGAAATCATCTTTGTTCAAGATGGATTCTACAGACAAAGCCTTATGTGCCACAGATAGTGTGATGACAAAAATATAATTGTTAAACTCAACTTCTCTCGACATAAAATTATAAAGCTTTTAAATGTAGACAGAAATGTCAATGAAGAGGTTATGTTATGTAAATTAGGGTAAGGCAATGCCACTACCATTCAAATGCATTGCATACAACTACACCTGAGCTTCAGGCCTCTAGGAGGCACACTAACACGGCCTGTCACTTGTAATTTGAACAACAGTATAGCTGCCACTCATTGATCACTGTTAGCTGTCACACTCTGTTTTCAATCCTGTTGCCTCAACAAAAAGCACCAGAGCCCACAACAACTATGTTCCATTATGTCTCCTGAAATAGACAACTTAGAGCAGAAATATTTGTGCTTGCAGTGGACAATCGAGCAAATAAGCTTTGCACAATATTGCTGAAACATTAACTACGAAAATCTTACTGGGGAAGTATGAACTGCAGAATACTTACAACAACACAGAGGAATATTATTGTTCACTCTTTAAGCCATTTTAAAAAGAGTGTAAACACACAGTTTAGAATTCTTTATGCAGTGCAAAATGTTGAAAGATACAACAAACTGTGAGAAGCAATGAATGGCCAACAGATGATGAGGTATCAGATAGAACGAAGAGCCGTCTGTAGCTCTTTTTGGTAAATGTTTTTTGAGTGTAACACATTCCATGCTGCCAAATGAGAATTCAGGTTAAAAAAAATGTAATATGTATCACTCAAAAGAAAAGCTATAAAAAGTAATTGATTAAAAAGTGTTTTAAATTGACACTTTATCTAGCAACCCATGTTGCTGGATAAATAGCTAAATTTTAGCAAACATTTTAATCAAAGTTAAACTATAAAAACAGCATCTTTTAACCAACCCCATAGTCTAGTAAGCCACAGGCTTACGCCCAGGTCTGATAAATATTGTATTTCAGGTGTGAGCATTTTTTCACAGATTGTCCTGTATTTGGGATCAGTATTTTTCTTCATGTTGTACCCGAGGATGGAAGATTCTCCAACTGGCTGCCAGGGCAGGAAACGCCTGTTCTGAATTTTTCGGGCTTCAACTGCACCTTCATCCTCAATGCAGATGGCCTCCATCTCTGCATTTCTCCTCCTCAGCTCGTTTACCTCCTGTTTCATTCTTTCTCTCCCGTACGCCTCCACTCTGGCCCAGAGGGTTGCATTAAAGTGCAGATAGAGTCTCCAGTCAGCCCCATTCCATTGTAAAGCTTTGGCTCTCAACTCAGGGGTCAGTCGAGACACAGATGAGCTCCTCCGAGCATTGAGTTTAAAGAACAGGATGTCCTCCATGGTCCAACAAAGTGTGTCCTTAAGCAGGATAAGAGACTCCTCAAAATACTCTGATATGAGAACCAGATCAAAATGTTTCGATAAGTAATGAATATGCCTCATTACACGAGGATCATCAGCCTCCAGATTGTTATCAAAACCAAAGTCAAAAAAGAGCAGATTTTTAAGATAAAATGAGTTGAAAGCGTCTGGGCTGTAATAGGTCTGAGGACTGTTTAGAAATTCTGCCAGTTTGTCCTTTCCATTGATCCTCCATGTGAGAGGAACTGCTCTGTGATAGTAATGAAAGGATGACTCAAAGAGAGCCACGGGGTCACGTAGGATGGTGATGTACACAGCATCTTGAGGCAGGAGCTTGGCTACTTCTTGATGGTCAAAGCGCATGTGGTTACAAACAATATTGAAACAGTCTCCAGGCCTGTAGTCCTTCACCTGGGAGCACTGGAAGGGCGATGGGTAGAAGAAGTCATTGCGTCCAGCAGGGAAGGCGAATTTAAGATTGTGCTTTTCCCCAAATCTGAAGAGGATGTTGAGTAAAGTGCTACTAGCAGTTTTATGGGTCTTCATGAACATGATGTCCACTGTGGGGGAGCACTCTTCTGACTGGGATTTTGTGCTTTGAGCAGGCGTGGTCACATTTTGCTTCAATAATTTGACCATACTGAGAGCACAGGTGTCTTCTTGGGAGCCCCTATAAATGAAACATAATGGATAAGCAAATACAAATCAACTGACTTAGCTCAATAAAATAATGCTTTCTTTGTAAATCTTTACCTAATCTTCACTTGGGTTACGTTTGTCAAGCAGTACAGCACCAGCATGATGTTGGTCAACAAAACCCAGAGAATCAGCCCTCGTATTACAAGTGTGCCCTTTTTTCCTTTCATGCCACACATCATCAAAACCCAAAAGGGAGCCTGAAAATGAAATAAGAGAGCATACACATATGAGGCAAACATTACAGGGAAAAGACCAAATATGGATTTAAAGTTTGGATAAACACCTCTCTGGATTTCGCTGTGTAAGTGTCGTGTTCTTGCACACGAGCAGCTTCACAAAGCTCATAAACAATTGTAATGCCCTGCGGCAATTCTTACACACGGGACAACTAATTACCCCCTTACCTCATCCCATCCCTTAATAATTATTATGTATTTGTGAAAAACCCAGGCCTGAATTTTTAATCGCTACTGGGGGGAAAAAAAGAGTTATATGATCTAACAGTAGAATAAGAAAAGGAAATGTAGAGAAGAGATAAAACAGATCAGCAAAAAAAAAAAAAACTGCTGCATCACCAAATAAAACACAGAGCCCCCATGTTTACACAAAAACATGTTTGTGGTTCTTAAATTACCTTTCCAACAAAGAGCAGAAATGGAAAGACCCATTAAAACCAAGTACAAGCATGCTATAACAGCCTGGTGCTCACAAAAATGACTAAATATTAAAACAGGATTCAACCAGTGGCACTGGGTAGATGGTTATGCTTGATAAAAAAAGAACTATTCAAGATAAATTCTAGTAGGTGGTAAGACATAGAAAGGTGTGTTCCTTTGCATACCAGCTCTAACTTCTTATCTTTGACAATGATAGTCATGAAGTTGTGTCATTTTTTACATTTGATAAAAATACCTTTTAATATATGTGTGTTCATAGCAGAAATGTAGTACATGAAAGGAAATAACTTGATTGAAAGAAACTTGACTGCACAATGTCTTTCTTTGAAATAATTCTGTAGACCCATTATCCCAAAAATTAAAATTTGATTATCAAAAAAGCCAGATTATAAATGAAACATGTGGAAATATGTGTGGAATCAATACAGAAAAACAGAGAGCTTTATTTACCTGCAGATGACAGCATTAGCAGTGTCTGGCTGAAGGTTTTCTACAAGGTGAAGGAAAACCCTCCACTGTTGAGCATGTTATACATACTCCCTGAGGTCATATCTCATTGGCTGCGAGGACTAAAGATGTCATGTAAATTCTCCTCCCACAGAGCCTGAATTGGTTTGTAAAATAGGCTGTGCTGGGTGGCAGAACCATTCATTCTGGCTACAGAACCATTCAGATTGAAAAGATTGTGGTCAACAGATTGTCACAAATAAACCTTGTTGTAAATAGGCTAATTTATTAATTCATAATTGCTTCTTAAGATGTGGAAAATGTGACCCACTGTATTAATATCTGTAGTAAGATATGGTTAAATATGTGGACTAAAAGCAAACTTTTCTTTTAGGTATGGATGCATCTGTATGTCTGTGTAACCACCACTGTATTCCCCCCAAAATGCTAAATTACCCTTCCATAACTGTACCAATGCTTATTTGCTATAACAACAATACTTCCCAAACCTTAACCAAGTGTTTGGCTGCTTTTGACCATCTTAACCTCAGCAGCAGGGCAGAGAATGCAGATATGGGAGATGTACTGATGAACATGTTTTTGAGAACCTGTTGGTCCAGTCACGATAACATTGTTTTTTTTTAAATTACATTGACATTCAATGTTTTAACATTTAACACTTCGCCCAAACCCTCAGTATTAAGACATATGGTGTTACTATGAAGAATGTGAGGCCCAGGCATGTAGCTATTGGGTATACAGAGCCTGGACAAATACCAATATCCAGGATTTGAACTGAGATATAGTGACAAAACAATGAGATAACAAAACTCATATAACATCTAGCTGTACAGATAAATAAATCTACTAAATGTGCTTTGCCTCAACCTAGCTGTGTGTTGTGTTGTGGGGCTGGCCAACTGTTTATTCTTTAGTCTCCAGATACCTGGACGCAGGTGCTGCCCCAGCTGCTGTTGACTTTGGCTGGGAATCATCTCTGATTCAGCGGGTCGCATCAGTTTGGCACATGGAGCCCACTAGCTTCTGTGTGGCATAGTTACTGATGTCACTGACATCAGACTACATCAGCGAGGGCGGCCAGATCTATGTCACCAACAGATCAGATCAGGGTTTGATCTAAGCAGTCTGGGGTAAGGGTAACAGACAGCCTTGCTGTGAATGTTGTCACCTTTGAGTTTTAAAGTCCACAGATCCTCCCCCAACCACTAAGAAATGTGACAAATTTGAAGCTCAGTGATGTTAACTTAAATGTCCACTGCAGCAAGACTACAACACAATTAACAATTAACAGTATTTAATTGCATTAATCAATAATTACATATGTTTCACAACTGTACAAGATATGCTTTACTGATACAGCAATAATGAGCAAACCAAACACAGTGACATTAAAATGAAAGGGTTTCTTCTACTTTCCATATTGGAACAGGAGCATAAACCGAACTGGTTATTGTACATTTCAACCCCTCACAACAATACAGTGTGTGTACAGTAGTTATATTGCTGGTATTGTGTTATTATGACATTGAGACCAACTTAAACCACAATAAACTTCTGTGGTTTCCCCTAAAAACACCCTGTATATTTTCAACACAACTTAAAAATGATTCAAAAGCTATGGGCAGCATTGAAACCAGAGATTCTGACATAACCAGTCTCTTTGAAATCGTTCTCAACAAAAACAAACTGAACTCACAGGCAGTTTCTCCTCCCATGCTGCTTATGCAACAGTGCAGGTGTTCTTTGAGATCTTGGGTCCAGTTTTCCTCAAACACAACCAAAGCAAGGGATTTTTGGAACATTATGGAAAACAGGACACCTAACCTGTTTTTCCCGCTTTGAACATCTGTTGCAGTTATTGTTTCTGTTTGAAAAACAGAAGATGTTCTTGACTACACTAGGCGTGAATGATTCTGTGAAATGGATCACATTGAATCACTCTTCAGCCTCGTGCTGCTCAGCACACAATAAAAGGGGAAAAAAAGTGGGCTAGCTACGGCAAACATTCCCTTCCAAGTAACAGGTAGTTTGCTTCTTTGCACATATCCATGGTACATGAACCTGGGCAGTTCACAATTAGAAACTCACTTTGCATTTAGCGTTTTTATGAGGGAATAAAAAAGAGTATTATCTGGTTTGTGATGCTGCATTTACTGTTTATGCTTTTATGGACAACAGACTTAAAATCAAGAATATGAATACAGATCTTTACAACGACACAGTATCAGCAAAAAACAGCTAACATAATTTACAAAATTACAATGTGAGTGTACAGTAACAAAAACAAAGTTATACAGTAACTGATTGCTTCCAGTTAACAATCATAAGGCACTTTCGAATGACAAAGAGCGTCCTTTACCAATAAAAAATGCAAAAGACAGCTTTTATATACAACTAAGCCACTTTTGGTAACCATACATCCACAGTATACTTTAACCTCCAATGAATTATTCCATGCTGTACATCATAAAAGGATTAAATAAGGCATAAACATTCTTCAAAAAAGGAGCAGGAGGAGAGTTTTAATATTTTTTGTTGAGTTGATTCTGAGGATAACCAATTTTTTAGTTAAATAAACAAATTCTGATTTGATGATTTGGAGAAACTAAAAGCAAAATAAATCCCAATCACAAACTGTATCACACTTAAAACACTTGTCAGTAACACTGCAAAACTTTCCTCCACACTGTGCAGCTTTACAAGCCAAGGACAGACATTAAACTTCCTCTACAAAGAGCAGCTACCAGGTAGTGGTACAGTAGAGGCGACGGAATGCTTACACTGCAGTTACTATATTGTGGTCCTGTGACTCAGTAGACAGGCTTGTAGAAAATCTGACCACCAAGCACCCTGCGCTTCAGCTCCTTCCACAGCAGGCTGCGCTCCCTCTGTGATCCCTTCATGAAGCCACGGTTCTCTTGAGCACGGCGAGACAGATAAGGAATCACCTCGTTGACAGGGCCATATGGGACATACTTGTATACTGGGAAACCTGCTTGACCTGTTTTCAACATAGAGAAAGGGGACAAGTTTTAATTCAATGCCACCATTGTCTGCATTACAAGTCATGGCTTAAAATGTAATGTCCAACAGCAGAATTTAAATATGGATGCAGCAGGGAAATAGACAGAATAGTTACTCATACACTCATCAAGAGCTCATACAGTTAAAAAAGATTCATATGTTGGGTCTCGGTCAATAATAGTATAAGATATATGGTCTAAACCTGCTTTGGTGCACTACAAATAACATTTTATTTAATTTAATATATAACTGTAAAACTGTGAACTAAACCTATTATCATTTTTTATTTAGAATTGCATTTATGGTGAATAAATATTGTATTTAGATAACACTGATATGTAAAATGGGGCTTTGATATTACATATCAAGTGATTTGACAAGGTCAAACCGACCCTTGACCCCCACTAATAGAAGAAAGGTCGGGGTTGCCACAGCATTACCCATCGCCGCTTGAGAAACTGATCAGCACGTCATTGCGCCATTGTTTAAACAGCAGCGCATTTTTTTAATCAAAGCTCAGTGCCCTTCACATTGGCATGACATTAAGAAATGATCTTTATAATTGCCAAGAGATACTGTTTTTGTTTAGGGTTGTTTTTATACTGAGAAAATTAGTTTCGGAACAACTCAAAAAGCTATTATGTACAGTATACTGACATTTTCTCAAGTGTTTACTGATACAACACATTTTGTCTAACTATTGTCAAACAATTTTTGGTAGTGATGTGCTCAGACTAATAGGGTGCATCTCTGATGAACCCAACTCACATAGCATTTGGTAAGAGACAGTTGAGACTCAGACATTCAGGTATGTTTGTTATCAATTGATTGGTCAGACAGAGATTTGTACGGTCAGTGGCCGCGTGAGTGTTGCAAAACTGACGTGTGTAGGGACCACGTTTCAGTGGAATCTCTACAGTCACATGACTATGTGACGTAAGCCTCCGGTGACTTACTGTTTACTTTTAGTATGTAAGCAGAGTGTTAACATACCTAGTGGGAAGCTGATCTGGTCACACATTCCCAGCAGCTGTCCAAAGTAAACCTTATTCTCAGTGGGTGAAAGGCCCATCTCATTCATCCTGGAAAAACAGACAGAAAACAGGCATGTTAAAGGGCGGTTACATAATGAGAGCAGGAGTGTAGTATTCTACCACTAATGTGGCAATATCTTTCTGTAAATCCTATAAATGCTGTGGAAAGTTGACAAAGAATGCGTTTTAATGAGAGCAATATCCTAGGCATTAGTTCAAACCATTAGGATTAATCCTTTATGAATGAAAGGCTTATGGCTTTTGTGTATCTTCAAACTAAATTAGCACTCAATATATGCCCAATGTTCTACGTCTTTTTTTAATTTTTCATGTAAACCTGAGACAAAACATACTTTTCAAGGGTATATTTCACTGTGTCCTCGTTGTGTGTTGCAACCATGACATTTGCTTTCCTGTTGTGTTCGATCTCCTCCAGCACATACTCCAAGCACCTGGACAAACGACAGGGCAGATGGTCAGGATTTAGACATTTTCTAGCAGGACTATAAAGGGTCTCGATGATAATTCAACACTTACTTGTGATACATCCTGTTAGTGGCCTCATAGTCTGGGTTTATTGGGTCTTCGTAACCAATCTCTTTCGCCCTGTCTCTCTCTTGATACATGTACGCCCCTCGAACCAGTTTGGCACCAAAGTACCAGCCCTCCCGTCGTGACAGCTCAATGTCCACAGTTACATTATCATAGGCTTCCTAAAAGTATTAGAGAACACAAGAGGATATGACTTCATGGAAACTGTCCTTCCAGGGCAGCGTGCCTTAATGGAAAACATGTCCTGGATAAGTGCTCCAAAAATATGACATGTCACCTTGAGGTAACACTGGTATGTGTTGAAAATGATCGGCTTCTCTCTGTTGAATATCCTCTGCATTTCCAGGGTCAGGCGACTAATAGCTGGTTGGAAGTATGTCTGCTCGGCGTCCACCATTAGCCTCACTCCATTCTCCACGGCATGCTGGGGCACACAGACAAAGCGTATTAACAGTTTATATAACTATAAGTGACAAACAAAGGGTGTAAGTAAGTAAGTATAAATATGAATATTTTGTGATATTGTATCGATTCTCATAAACACTGTATCGATATTTGTGTTTAAACTCCCCTCGCTATAAACATAATTTGTATTATTGCTAATACAAATGCAGATCTTACAGTTCTGGTTGCATGAAAAAGTAAATTTTCTCATGCGTTGTATGCCTTTTTAAGAAAGAAAAGGGGAAAGAAAGAGGGGACAAAGATTTCTATACTGGCTCTTAAAACTACTTAATAAATGTACTTTTTATCCTTACCTTGGCCAGGACGTCCACTCTCTGCAGCATTCTCTTCATCTGCCGCTCCTCCTCAGCTGTAAATGTGTTCAACAAAGGTTCCAGCTTGCGTGTCTGCACAACCAACACACAGAACATCGAATCATTTGGCATTTGCTTTCAAACTATATCAGTATGTGACAAGCGGGGCTGGAGATGGGTGGGTGGGGGTTGAGAGTGCCATTTCATCTTGTGACCCTTTTCAAACTGATAGAGTTTCTCAACTGCCCTCAATAGCACTGGCTACATTTATTTGTGCACTAAGACTCGACTCTAATACACACTGCCAAAATGTACAGATCACTACAAGTCCTTAATGATAGTATGTTACCTCATTAGAACAAATATTTACTTGTGGCTGGGAGATATGATACCGTGACACCAACTTATTATCTTGTGGGAAGAACATCAATTTCTTATATCAGAAAGACTTGTATCAACTTGTTCCCACAATATACCAGGAAATTCTAATGTGAAACAAAAACTGTTTTCTTACCTACATCTATTTTACAGATTTATCTCACTATCAGTTTATGACACAATGTATCCCTTAAAAACCAGGAAATTGCCATCATACAATGGGCTATCAAATGCTGTATAACTTCTGGAGACGTGCCCTTCTGAAGATTATATTAAGGCCTGTTTATTGCACAGCTGACAGTATACAGATAATAGATAACCAGATTGCTTTAAAACCGAGGAACACTTCCTTACTGAACTACCACAAACATTACATTCTTGCCCCTTCACATGACAATGACTCACCTCAAGGTTTGGCACCATAAGCAGATTGGAGATTGTTGTCG